TATTTTTCTTAAGGCTAAGGGGTATGGTCACATCCAATCTACCGAAAAAGTGACGTCACCTCATCGCCATATCAGCTCCACTACCAACCTACTACCAACCCACTAACTCTTGGAAATGGTCACCACTCCACATCATTTTTTTTACATTAGAATAATTTAAAAAATAATTATTAAACAAAAATAAAACCATAAATATTAATTAAAAACATTTTACATTAATTTAAAAAACATAAATTTAAAATCTACATTACCTAAAAAAACATAATCATTTAAAACCTAAATTACTAAAAAAACATAGAAAATATTACTCGTCATCATCCTCGTCATCGTCATTGCCACAGTTGCTTATATTTTAGGAAGTAAGTAGTGAATGAAGATTGTCATGAATTAGATTGTAGATTGTCTAAAAAATTTAGCCATAGCAATTGTGTTGCTACAACGTTCATGAATACTTAGAAAATGAAGATTTGAGTATTGGATAAACTCAGGCTCAGAGAATTACTTCATGGATTATATCACAAGTAATTATGAGATGATAATATCTTATATTCTTAAAATGGGGATATATGAGTTGTAATTTACAAGTCGGTTGTACATTGGTGTTGCGAAAACGCATCAGTAACATGATGTTATAAAACATAATATCATGTATGATTTGGTAAACAAAGGATACAAGCATATGAGTCAAAGTTTATTTGTTCCATTTGCCCTAATGGGAAAAGCGATATCTTTGGATCCCTCGGTGATTTGGTGTTGACTTATAGTGTTGGGCCCAGTCAAGATTAAATTGATGTGTTCAATTAGTAAGTGTTATAAGGTCATCACAAATCGGAAATCGAGAAGCAAAATTTGGACAATGAGATTGATTTTTATCCATGTCTCATGTTCGTATGGTATCTAGAAGAACGGATGAATATTTGATCACTTATCTAAGGACAAATATATGATCATATCAGAGTTCGACAATTGCTTTGGAAAGCACCCTTTGCTATTTAATTTAGAAGTTATACATGTAAATTAGAATTAGACTCATCCAAGTGGGAGACAATTGAATTAGATGTCTAAGCCAATAACTAAATTAGTATAATACTGAATTATTAGCAAAGTCTTTTTTGGGTTGCCCTCAAACCTAGTCAATAAATTAGTATAATATTGAATTATTAGCAAAGTCCTTGTTGGGTTACCCTCAAACCTAGTAATTAACTGGAATGTTATTTGGAGAAAGAGACTGATTTATTAACTTATTATATGATTAATAAATCAAATAGAATTCAAAATAAATAATTTATTGATGTATTATGAGAATAATATATTAATTAGAAATAGTATTAATTACTTAAGAATTAATTAGAAATTGATTTGAATTAATTTTGGGATTAATTGGATTAACTAAAAGTGGAAAGACTAAAGGTGACAATGTTTAAAAGTATAACATTGACCAATTCTAGAACCTTCCATAGGGGGGGGGGCAATTTCTAGATGGTTATGGGAGGTTTTCTTGGGCATTAAGGAAGCTTAAGGATCCTTAGGGAGCAAGAAAATGGATAAGGGTTATCCAAGTAAACATGCCTTATCCTAGCATCCCTAGTCACCTATATAAACCCTCATAAGGGTTATGATTTTTAGCTATCACAATTCCTAAAAGAACTTCAAGAATTCCCATCCTCCTCCTCTCTCCTCTTTAGCCTCAAACTAGCTAGGGTTTCGGTGTGAGCCATTAGAGGCACGAGACTTCTGGTGCTTTCTTTCTGAAGACCAACAAGGAAGGAATACTAGTTTGTTTGCTATAATAAACTAAGTTATGTATTTTCTAATAAACCTTTAGTAATTTCAAAAATAGCAATATACTTTTAGGGTTCTTAATATTGAATAATTGTTTGCAAATCATAGTGAGAACATAGATCCTTAAGGGTACATGTGAACATAGATCCTTAAGGGTACATGTTACATATAAAACTCACCACTTAGAAGATCAAATCCCAACAAAAACAAACTCTAGTAACAAGGAATGACCACATCCTTCCTCTTTAAAAATCTCAAGGTCTTGAAGCACCAAGAAACACACATTAAAGCACTAAGCACACACACACACACACAAGGGTTTCACTATGGAGGGTGGAGACTAAGAATGAGACAAAACCCTAGTCATAATGTTGTTTAAATAGGCCCAAATCCTGAGGCTTTAGGGTTTGGCCCATCAGGTCCACTATGCCATGGCCAAGCCTTTACTGTGCTGCCACTCAAGAGAAAGGGGGAGTGTATCCAAAATTGAGAGGGGAGGAAGAAATAAAAAGTTTCTCCGAGTTTCATGGCTTGTTCATGATCATTTTAAGTCCTTAATAGAATCCTCAATTTATCCCAAATGATACCTGAGAGTTCTCGAGTATAACCAAGTATTTTTCAAGAAATTCAATCCTTAAGAGAGAAACACGAGAACCAATTCTACAAGTCGGGGAAAGGGAGAAAAAGGAAGTGGTTTTAACATCATAAATTGTGAGTTACATAAGAACCTCACTTTTTGTTTCTTTTGTCAAAAATGGTCCCTTTACACGATTTTAGTAAGTTTTCCACTACATAGTAAGTCACATAAGATGGTTTAGTTTACAAACATCACCAAATATGGTAGATATTTCGAGTTTGGCAAAGATCTAGCATGTTTTCATAACATAAACACAACATATAACATGAAAACACACATATGCATGCATAAACACATAGATATACACAAAACAACTTGTATTCTCCCCCAAAACATAGTAAAACCGAAAATAAGGGTATGAACTCAATTTACTTTGAAGGTTTCGGTTTTTGGTAGAGGATTGGAGAGGTTTTCGGCTTTAACGAGCTTTCTTGAAGTGATTTTCGAGATCTATGAAGTTCTAAGAGAATGGATCATGAAATGAAGTGTTAATGAGTGAAGATTATCATAAAATGAAGCTAAACACTTTGATGAGAGAATAACTTACCAATATGATGAACTTTGATGAAGAGTTCTTGAAGAACACACACACACTCGAAATTTTAGAGAGGTAGAGGGTGGGAGGATGTTGAAGGTTGAGAGAGAATGCGTTAGATTTGAAATGGTGAATGAGGGTGGTGAGGGAGAGAGTGACCGAGAGATAGAGAGAGGTGGGAGAATGGAGAGTTGACTAATGAAGAGTGTGATTAGAGGTTTGCTTGGATACATGCAATTTTGCATGGATATCCACTAGACAATGTTGAGGTGACAAACTCTATTTTGCTCTAATTTTGTTTTATTTATATAGTGGGCCGAGAATGAGAGGGGAAAAGAGAAGAGGGAAACTTTGGGCCATACTAGCTCATGTTGGACATCATGAGGCCCAAGCTGATAATTTTCGACCCATTAGGCTCTTCTTGAGGGTTCACGACCCAAAGGTGGTAAAAAGGGTGGGGTTGACGGCCCAATTACCATGAGAAGATGGGTTTACGGCCCATCATAGCTCATTAAGGTGGTTCACGACCCATATAGGCCCATGAGAATAAGTGATTTATTTTAGACTAACATGGCCCAATTACTATGGTTTGACGAATATGGGCCCAACTAGAGTCCAAATGGGTTTCATTGGCCCAAAATCATCAAATAGGAAGTTTACTAGCTCATTAGGCCCAATAAGTGGATCCTAGTCCATACTAAATTCGAACCGAGATATTTAGGGTTTCAGAACCATAGTTAAGTATATGGGATGTACTATATTAGGTTTTAAACTTTACTCAGGAGTTTTGCTTCAAATGGATGATTTTAATTTAGCATAGAGTATGATATCCACTTAGAATACAAGTCTTACAATAGTTGATGTTTGCATGAAAATAGAATTTCTTAGCTAAAATGCTTGTTGTGACAAAAACTATGTTCTAACTAGATTTTCTTGTCTTGGACAAGTACAAGACATCCTAATATGTTTTGAGTGTAAGTATAGAGGTATAATACCCTATAGTAGTTTCATACTTGTTTGAATACTCTCAAATGGTAAAAATCAAATGGTGCCCAAAAAAAAAACACTAGTGTTTTAATTAGTTCATGACTATTATCATTTATTTTGAATCCATACAAAATATATCCTACTGAGTTTCATATGTATCAAATATGTTATTAGTATTACATAAAACAATCAATGCATACATTCATGTATGTGTCACAATAACACTAAAAATAACACTATAATACACGAAAACCGTCGTTAATCCTAAAATAAAAAAAGTGTAAATATAACGTATGTATACTTGATTTTATGACTTCAGTCAGTTTATGCACTATAATACTTGGTTATGTTGGTTTTTTTTTATTTTGGTTTTGCTTAACCGTAATTTTTTAAAAACATTTTATATAAATTTATTGGTTAAAGATGGACAATATGATTTAATGTGTTCAATTACAAAACTTAGTTTACTTCACAAATTTATTGAGGAATGGAGAAGTTATTAATAAAACTTTTAATTGCCCATTGTAATGATATTTTGAGAATTTTATATAAATTTATTGGTAAAATATGTATAGAAACAAAAGAGTAAATTACACGAATAGTTTCTATGGTTTAGGGTAATTTGTGCATTTGGTCCTTAATTTATTTTTTTAATTCAGAAGGTCCCTACTGTTTTTTTCTTGCTATACGTTTGGTCCTTGTCTTACCTAAAAAAAACTATTTTGCTATTGATTTTTTTAATTTATTTAAATAAACACTCCCTCAACATCACCTTTCACCTTATCTAGTCTTTTTAGGTAAGACATGGACCAACCACATAATAAAAACAAATAGTAGGGACCAAACGCGTAATAAAAACAAACCGTAGAAACTTTTCGAGTTAAAAAAATAAGTTAGAGACCAAGCACGCAAATTACCCCAAACCATAGGGACCATTAGTGTAATTTACTCAAACAAAAAATAACTAAATACATACAATCGAAAACATTATATTCTTTCAATGTGTTTCGTTAAATTGTAAATCGATAAAATTTGTACATTGAGATTGCGTTTAGGGGTGTAAACTATTAAGTTAAGGAAGTGAGGAACTAAGAATGGAGTTACGTTAAAGTTGAGGACCAAATCTACCAACATAAAAAATAATGAGACCATGCAGCAAATAACAAACCCAGATGGAACCCAAAAATTCTAGAGGTTAAAGACGAATCACCAGATATGATGAATCATATGAAGTCCTGGATGGTCGAATCCTTTTCTGAGGGTCAACTCTACCTCACGATGCCTTTCTATCTCTACTAATTTGGTAAAATTAGATCATTTATATATACATATTGCCGATTCTCGTAGAAATTGTGTGGTTAAATCCCCTTAAATTGGAATCTAAAATTTCCAAAATAAAATTTCACAGATGTGGATTTATGAATGATTGATTATGCTGCGATTGCGATTAGCGTATGCATTCAAAGATTAACTCGACGAACCTCGGTTTTAGCCAAGAAGGAAACATGGGTGGAAAATTATTGGAACTCGATGGATCATCAATCAAGTTTATATGTAAGGAGATTTCGTTTTCAATATGCAATGACAAAACGACGTATTTGTTTACAATTTTGTTCGCAAATGTCTTCATTTAGTGCATCGTCTGTTCCGCAAATAGATACCAGTTTAACAACGATTTTTTTTTCCCCAAATTAGTTGGACATGCTAAGCATTGATCAAGCATAAAAAGGTGAATCACTAGAAATTTATAAACTGGTGTAATCTTTTATCACTATATATAACATAGAGTGATCATCATGATTGCTTTGTTTTCTTAACTTCGCCACTTTCGAGTCTATATTTTCTATTCAACTATTTGATTTCCCCAAATAAATATTCCTTGTTATCTTTGCAGGTGAAATCAAGAAACAAAGTACCTCTTCAGTTCACATCTCCAACATATCTGATGAGTATGTTGCTTTTAAGGTAATTCATGATCGCTTAATGTATCCATCAAAGTAAATACAATTCTCCTTTAATCTATATTTTGATCACATATAGAACATTTTCATTTGGCAGGTGAAGACCACATCACCAAAAAGATTTTGTGTAAGACCCAATTCAGGCATCATTAGCCCAAAGTCAGAATGCAGTTTCACAGGTATGTGTGGACTCTAAAGTCTAATCCCTTTTGCTTCCAAAAATTAATAAAATATTATCCTTTTATTGTTGTTATACAGTTACTATGCAAGGTCTAAGATCACATCCTTCTGAAGTGGAGTGTAAGGATAAATTCTTGGTTCAAAGCACAGTTGTCGATTCTGGGACAAAAGAAGAAGATATCACTGTTGACTTAGTAAGTATTTTGTCCTTTACTCAAATTTTTATTATTATTTCTCTCATTGTTGTATTTGGTAGTTCTCCAAAAGCAGTGGTAAGTATGTTGAAGAGAAGAAGCTCAGGGTTGTTCTAGTTAGCAAGCAAGATTTACCAGTAGAAGAACACAAAGATAAAGAGTTGGAGAAACAACATGCTAATGAAGAAGATTCACATAAAGAACATAAACACAAAGTGTTGGAAAAAAAACATGCTAATGAAGAAGAAGATTCGTGTAAAGAACATAGACACAAAGTGTTGGATAAAGAACTACCTCATGAAGCTTCACATACAGAACATAAACACAAAGTGTTGGAGAAAGAACCTCCTAATGAAGCTTCACATAAAGAACAAAAACACAAAGTGTTAGAAAAAGAACCAGCAAATGAAGCTTCATCAAAAGAACACAAACATAGAGTGATGGAAAAAGAACCTTCCAATGAAGAGCACAAACATGAAGTGTTGGAGAAAGAACCATCTAATGAAGCTTCACATAAAAAAGAACACAAACACAAAGTGTTGGAAAAAGAACCATTAAATGAAGCTTCATTAAAAGAACACAAACATAAAGTGTTGGAGAAAGAACCTTCTAATGAAGTTTCACATGAACACAAACACGAAGTGTTGGAGAAAGAACCTTCTAACGAATCTTCAATTAAAGAAGATGTTTTGGTGAAAAGAGACAAAAATGTTTTCTCAGTGGATAAGGTGACTGATACATAGTTTCTCTTCATGGGACTTGAGTATTGTTTTAATTTTCTAGTATGATGAATTTACAATTTTCAATAATGCTTTGTGTATTGCCTTTTATTTAAATTCAACTTCTCTTCTTGCAGCAAATTGAAGATGCTAAGGAAGTCAAAAGTGGTTTGACCATAGAGGAGTCAAAGTTATCTGATGGGAATAATGTACCCAAGAATTCGAAGTTTAAGCCTGTAAAGATTGTGAAAGAGGATCCAGAAACGAGGTTGAGATTGTCTAATCAACTCAAGGAGTTGAAACTGAAGGAAAGTACATTAGAAAATCAACTCAAAGAGGTTAGTAATGATGTTGTTAATATTTAATTTTATGTAGGTTTGCAATTAATGGAGGACTTTTTAGTAATTTGTTCTAATTACGGATATTTTTGTAGGCCAAATCCACCATCTCTAGCCTAACCTATCAGAACAGTATAATCATTGAAGCTAAAGAGACCCTTCAGTTGGAACTGGTAAGGACATTTTCGTCATTTATTATGATTACAAATATATTAATAACCATTTTATGTAGGTTTACCAATAATGGATGACATTTTAGTCATTTACTTGTTTTTTGCAGGATAGGAGAAGTAAGAAAGGTTTCTCCTTTGTGTTTGTTTGTGGGGTGTCACTCATTGGTTTGATAGGCGGATACTTCTCAGATCCTTAAATGATACATTCATAAATTTTCTCCATTTTGTTTGGAAAATTGGATGTTTGCATTTCTTAACTTGTACTTTGTAATTCGAAAGGACCGGTAAATATATATACTATTTCTTTTTTCCTTGTGTAAATCTGTGGAAGTTTTCATTATTTATAACAATTGTGCTTGTAAATAAGTGACATTTATTAAAGTAAAAACCTTTTTCAATCCGACTATGTTCTAAATATGTGGTTATTCATAAACATTTTTTTTTCAAAACTCATGGAATGGATGTAAAACACGACATTATCTCTTGGTTATGTCATCGTCATGAGAAGATCAAAAGCAAATGGAAATGGTTTGTTGTCTTACATCACATTTATTTGGGACCACAACCGTGAATAGAAATTAGAAAAAACAAAATATAAAAACTAACACCAAAAAAGCCAATTTTAAATTTCAAAATAGAAAAACCTACAATATGATGGTTGGGCGTTGATGGTGATATGTTGTCAACATAATTATCCATGTACACAGGGCCATGTTGATGCCATGCGGTTGAAAGGAAACGAAAAACGGTTGGCCACTAAAAAAAGGGAAAATGACCTTTGAGGGTAATAAAGTATTCGTCTTGTATTCATTAGGTCTCTTATCTTTTTTTTGTCTTTATTATACCATTGAACTTGTAATCCCTGTTCACCAAAGCCACCGTGACCGGTTATCACCTGTTTTACCGGTTACCACATTTAATTAGAGATGACATGTCTTATTACGTGGAATTAGAACACATTTAATTACCGTTTCTCTTTCACCCATTTGTCCTTACAGTTAGGGTTCTTTTTAATTGAGGGAAGAAAAAGTTCAATCGAAGCATACGGTTAGGAAATTGAAGACAACTGGTGAATGCGAGTGTTATAGTGAAGAAGATGGCCTCCGATTCCAAACAAAGTAAGTATTTAACAGTTTATTTACATTATAATGGTTTATTCGCACCAAAACCATTAGTGTACTTGAACGCTGTTGTTGTTTCAATCTGTGATGTCGATTTTGGTGCAATGGATTTCAAAGACTTTAACTTGTTCATTGCAAAGTTGATTGAAGGCAGTTGTGATAATGTATATTATTGCACTAGAAATGAACCATTGGCAGAGGGTATTAGGAGAATTACGAATGATGCTGACTACTTTGAGTTTATTGAAACGGGTTATAGTGATGAAGCCGGTCTAAGAATGAATGTGTATATAGACCACGAAAATGAACCTGTACTTGATTGGGCTGATGATGAAGGGCATTATTTCGACAAGACCTGGATGATGATAAAGATTCACAACTTTCTGATGATATTCCATATGAGCATGAAGCAGATGATTACATTCCTTCTCTTGACAAGACTATTGGTGATGAATTCTTACATCGGGTGTCAGGTATGTGTAAGGATATAAATGATGAGGCTGAAACTGATGAGGTTGAAACCAAGAATGGAGATGACAAACCAGTGTACCCTGTCCATAATGAGAACCAGAAATGGGACAAAATGGTGCCAATTCTAGGTATGAGATTCTCTAACCCCATGGAATTGAAAAATTGTTTGACTAACTATGCAGTGAAGAATGGGTACAACCTTTATTTTGAGAAAAATGATAGTCAGAGGTTATTAGTGAGATGTTGTAAAGAGAACAAGAACCCCTCTTGTCCTTTTAGACTGTGGGCTTCCTGGATGAGCAGTGAAAGGTCTTTCCAAATTAAGTCATTAGTTGATGAACATAACTGTTCAAGAGTCTTCAAACTTGGTTCCATTGTAACATATAAATGGATTGGAATGCATTTTAAGAATCAACTTCTGAAGAACCCTAAAATGAGCATAAGGAAAATGAAGGCCAAAGTGAGTACAAAGTTTAACTTGATTGTTAGTGTCACTCAATGTAGAAATGCTAGGAGATATGCTTTGGATGAGATAGAGGGTAGTTTGATAGAACATTATGGTAAAGTATGGAGTTATGGAGAAGAAATAATGAGGACAAATCCTGGTTCAACAGTAAAGATAGATGTGAATGTCATGCCTGATTCCACAACCTACTTTTCTAAAATGTATGTTTGTTTTAAGGGTGTGAAGGATGGTTGGATTGCAGCATGTAGGAGGGTAATAGGGGTAGATGGTTGTTTTTTAAAGGGTATATGTAGAGGCCAACTGTTAGCAGCTATGGGTAGGGATGCAAACAACCACATCTTCCCTATTGCATGGGCTGTGGTGGAAGTTGAAAATAAGGAAACATGGAAGTGGTTTCTTGACCTCCTTCTGGATGACATTGAAATGGGAATTGGTCATGGATTGACCCTCATATCAGACCAACACAAGGTATATTTCTGTTTTGTTTTGTTTAAGTTGAATGTTTTTGTTATGTCATCTATTTCATGCTTTCTTTCAGGGATTAATAGAGGCTGTCAAAGAAAGGGTTCCAGCAGCAGAGCATAGACAATGTGCTAGGCACATCTATGCTAACTTCAAGAAAAGTTTCAAAGGTGAACAATATAGGAAGTTGTTTTGGGCAGCAGCTGCTAGTACTACTCAACCAAAATTTGAGGCAGAAATGAATTCCATAAAAAAATTGATCCTTTGGCTTATGAACACCTCATGGAAAGGGACCCTAAAAGTTGGTGCAGGGCATTCTTTGAAGTGGACAGGGCTTGTGATGCTTATGAGAATGGCATATCAGAAAGTTTCAACTCTGTTATTGATCTTGCTAGGAAAAGGCCACTCATCACCATGTTGGAAGAGATAAGGATTTATGCAATGGAGAGGATGTATAAAATGTTGCAAGAGGGACAAAGTTGGGGGAATTTAAAAATATGTCCATCTATAAGGTTGAAGATATCAAAGCTAAAGAAACAGCAAAGGTATGATATAACTTCTATTTTATAAATATTATATGTCTCATCTATAAGATTAATAGAACTTCTTATTTTTTTGGGCAGATTTTGGGGTGTTATACCATCTGGGATACAACAATATGAAGTTAGGATTGGAAATGATGGATATGCTGTGGACCTTAACAACAACACATGTGGATGTAGATCTTGGCAAGTATCAGGTATCCCATGTGTGCATGCAGTGGCAGCCATTTCATACCTTAACAGGAATGCAGAGGATTATGTTGCACCATGGTTCCATACAGCCATGTTCTTGACTTGTTACAACCATACCATTAACCCACTTAATGGTAGTTCCATGTGGCCTGAAGCTCCCTACATGAAGCCATTGCCTCCTCAAAAAAGAAGGTTACCAGGAAGGCCAACCCTTAAAAGGAAAAAAGATCAATCTGAGATGGAAAGCAAGGGGAAAACAAGGCATACTATCTCAAAAGCAGGTTCAGTTAATAGATGCAGTATTTGTAGAGAAAGGGGCCACAATAGATCAACATGTCCTACTAGACCAGCAGATGTAGCATCCACTTCAAGGCCAAAAAACAAGTAACCTAAAAAATGTAAAAAAGAGAAAGGTATGCTATTAAAACAATATAATTTAAATGGAACATCCAACTCATTAGCTACATATTTGTATAGCAGGTAAAGTGGAACCAGTTCAAGTGGATCCAGTTCAAGCAGATCTAGTGGATCCAGTTCAAGTACCAGCTCCACAGGTTGATCCAGTTCAAGCAAATCCAGTGGATCCAGTTGATGTACCAGCTCCACACGTTGAACCAGTTCAAGTAGATGATCCACATCCAGATGTTGATGTCCCTGCTCAACCAGTTGCAACTAGGCAGAGGATACGAAAATACTCAGAAAGAATTACCAAGATAGGGTTGAGGAGGAAGGTTTTGAAGAAAGAAGGAAGCACTGGACACAACCCAATGGTGTTGGAATGATTTTATTTGGAAAGACAAACTTTTAGTCTTATAAATATGTAATTGGGATATTAGGACAACTGTGGGCACATGGCACATCTTTTGACATATTAGGACAACTGTGGGCACAACTTTTGTAATAGTGCACATGATGATGGAATATTACAACTTTGTCTTTTATCTATATGCTTTGGTGTACGGTTATTTGCATATAGATTGTTTAATCTTATATTATCTATCATAAATCAAGTAAATTTAGTATTACTACATTAAGCAAAGTTTGGTGTTGTTAATCTGGACCATATTACCCTTGGATCACATCAACACATTAACAATTGATTACTGCCAAATTTAATATGGACCATTTTACCCTTGGATCACATCAAAACATTAACAATTGATTAATGCCAAGATTTAGTCTTAATACATTAAGAAATGTTTGATGTATCCAATGTGGTTAATCTGGACCATTTTACCCTTGGATCACATCAACACAATAACAATTGATTACTGCCAAATTTAATCTGGACCATTTTACCCTTGGATCACATCAACACATTAACAATTGATTAATGCCAAGATTTAGTCTTAATACATTAAGAAATGTTTGATGTATCCAATGTGGTTATTCTGGACCATTTTACCATTAGATCACATCAACACAATAACAATTGACTGCCAAATTTAATCTGGACCATTTTACCCATGTATCATGTCCAATTCATTAACCTTTTAAACATATTAATACTTCTTGGAAAGCACTCAAAACATCAAACTATCATTAATCAAAAAGATTTAGTCATAATACATCAAACAAATTACAACATTAAGGATTACATTTAGTCTTTGAATACAGCTAAACTAAGGGTTAAATTAAGGGCTAAACTACTTCTTAAACACAAACAACAGAAACAACACAATCATCACAACTTTATGAGTAAATAGCTTCCATTTGAGTTTTTCAAACTCTTGTCTAACAACCAAATTTTCTTGTTCCATCTTCATCTTACATATGCTGATCTCGTTTTCCAATATAGAAACTTTGAGGGTTAAATTGCACGGTTCTTTTTTGTCCTTCCCAGAATTGACTTCATTTTCAGGGGTTTCAGGCTCCAACCATTCCCAGAACTTGCATTTTGGTCCTTCATTCTTGAAAAAAGTAACAAATTGGTTAAAGAAAGAAGATAAAACGAAAAGTAAAAAACAATTGCTTTACCATGGAGTTAGGGCACAATCTGAATTTTTTTCCTGGATTGTCTTTAGTTCATGAAGTTCGTACACGAGATGGTAACCCACAGTAACAAGGATTTTCAGGTTGAAATTCAACATTTCGTTTGGAAGAAATAGAAGAAGAAGAAGAAGACATGTCGATCTAGGGCAAGAACGGGCAAGAAGATGCAGTACTTAACTTTGCAATTAATAAGCCCAGTTTATGGCACATAATGCCACGTAATATCCACATAACTAGTAACCTACAACAACCGGTATCAAGGGCTTTGGTGAACAGGGATTACAAGTTCAATGGTATAATAAAGACAAAAAAAAGATAAGGGACCTAATGAATACAAGACGAATACTTTATTACCCTCAAAGGTCATTTTCCCCTAAAAAAAAACGATTATGGTTTCTTTAAGACATCCAGCGTTACGAGAGAGATACTAATTCAATTGGTCATTCATGAAAAAAGAATAGATTCAAACAACTTAATAGTCAAATCAACGAACAAATTGAAATTTCAATTCGACAAAATCAAATACACATAGTTGAGTGTCAAACAAAAACCGGAAAAGTAGGATTTTAATCGTTCATGGCTAAAAACGGATCAAAAAAATATATTTTTAAACAGCTGTAATCGATAAAAAATACCAAATCGTTGATTCCAAATGCATATTCTTGATGATTCTTCGCATAAAAATTGAGTTTCCTTGTGGTCAGAGTCGACATGCAACAATAACGAACTAATGGTGTTATTTAAAGGCTCAAATCCAACTTTATGGCCACACTCAACCGAGTAAAATTATGTAGGAAAATCCACTCAACAAAGTGATATCCTGTGTCAACTTTTCTCGATTTTTTGCACGGCTTGATCGAGTGGAGGTCAAAGGTCGGGCCTAATCAGGTATGGTTACATTTTGTCTGGCCATCTTCTTCAGAAATTTCAACATTTTCATCCTTACTATGATCTTCACATATGAGGGTGTGCTAGACCATAATTGTAGCTAAATTACACTTTATCACCAATCCTTCTGTTAGCCAGAGTGTATACACTCGATACATATCAACTAAATCAATCACAACGATTCATCTCATTATGTCTCATTCTAAGGTCGATGGGAAAATGTCAACCAACAAAAGAAAAAGTCGGGGTTAGACCATTAATCAACTACCATTTCCCATTTGTTATCGTCAATTTTAACATTATACCACTACCAACAAAATATGAGTTTCAGTTTTAGAATCGATTACATTTGGATCCATTTTCTTCTATCATTAATGGGTCAAGTTGTAACATTATAAATGAAGAGTTCTTAACAAGACATGCATCTAACATGCTAAACCAACCAATTGAGTCTTTTTAATCATCTTGATAGGTTACTTATCAAACCTTGTCACCTTTTGCAAGATAATGGAAGAACATTGATACCAAAAGGTTTCAGTTTTCGCCATCACTTTGATCAGGGAAAGTAACACATTTGAAAACTTTGCAATTGGAACACAACACATACCCAACCTGTCAAACAGGTCACATCACTCATTCAGTAACCATTTTATAACTACAAAACTGTTTGATCCAAAAAAAAAAAAAAAAACATTACTTACAGCTCTACAAGATGGACATCTACGATAGATACGATTGTTTTCAGATTTCACATTAGTCTTTTGCCCTTTACAAAAATCACAAATCAACCATCCTCTCCCATCACAAGGTTCACATTCAATGCTCCCATCAATCTTTATACCCTTAAAATATTCAAAAAATGGAATCGTGATTCAAGACTCAAGGGTGGATAATCGATCAACCATAGATAATCAAGAACATAACACATCAAAATGTCAAAATTTTGATACTTTAGACAGAAGAAATCATGTGATATGGAGAAACTTGAAATCAAACATGTGGGTATATGAAATACCATCCAAATCCATACATTTATGTATGTAAATATATATACCTGCTGTTGAAGAGAAGTGCAATGGATGGGCTTTGAAAACCTGTTCGGATTCAAAGAAATCAGAGGCATCAATGGCAGCTTGGTTACACCCAAAAAAGCCATTTTTGTTGCTTCTTCCTCCTTTGAGGATAAAGATTTTAAAGGGTGAAAATGGAGAACACCCACCACCCATCAAAGCCAAAAATTCAACCTTATAGTTGCGAACAAATTACGCAAGTGCCACCATCCTTTTTCATTGCTTTTTATAAATGTAAATTTACTTCATTACTAGTGTCACTTTCGGAAATAAATGAAGAATGACCACTGGTAAAGTCATATTCATCTTCATTGCCGTCGCTTCGTCACGCTTCTTCATCGTTTTCTCTCTCCGGCTACTGTCCGGTGATCATTACTGTGACCTTACGCGCCTACCGTCCCCACAAGCTCTCCGATCAGATCAATTCACTGTGTTGATCAACGGCTACTCGGAATCTCGCATTCCGATCCTGCAGACAGTCACCGGAGTGTATTCAAGTTCTCCGTCTGTAGCTGCCGTGGTTGTGTTATGGGGAAACCCTACAACGCCCGCAAAAACCCTAGTGGAACTCTCACATAACCTCTCGATCTCGTCTCCTGGAGACGCGCCGATCTCAGTTATCCGACAACCGTCGTCTAGTCTCAACGCCCGGTTCCTCCCCCGCCCATGGATTTCCACACGCGCCGTCCTGATCTGCGACGACGACATCGAGGTCGACCCAAAATCGATCCAATTCGCTTTTGAGATCTGGAAGAGTCGCTCGAACAATCCAGAACAACTCGTGGGACTGTTCGCCAGATCTCACGAGCTAGACCTCACCAGCCGTACATGGATTTACACCGTCCACCCCAATCGCTACTCGATCTTACTCACAAAGTTCATGTTTATGAAAACTGAGTATTTATACGAGTACAGCTGCGAAGGAGGTGAATCAATGGCGCAGGCGAGATCAATCGTGGATGAGATGAGGAATTGCGAAGACATACTGATGAATTTCGTTGCAGCAAACAAGACGGGTATGGGACCGGTTCTTGTCGGGGCTAAAAGGGTGAGGGATTGGGGGGACGCCAGGAACGAAGGTGTAAGACGGCGGGGGCGGGGATTGAGAGCGGCGGGAGAGGAGGTGGCGGTGGGGTTGAGTAGTAGAAAAAAGGGTCATAGAAGAAGGAGAGGAGATTGTATAAAAGAGTTTCATAGGGTTTTGGGGAAGATGCCATTGACGTACAGCTATGGAAAGATGGTTGATTCGATTGGAGAGCAAGGGCTTTGTGAGAAAGGTGGGAAATTGGTGTTTTGTGATCAACAAACAGTTTTCTAAATGCATTAATGGTTATCCTTCATGCTGTTTCTGTAACTTAATTTTTTTCTAGAGTAGCATTGATCATCACTGCATCCGTGTATACAATATGAATGAAAATTGCATGGGGTGATTGGGATTGCTTATAAAATAGCTTTCTACTTTTAGTTTTTTTGAAAAGTTAAAAGATTAAAAAGATATTTGAGAACTACAAAAGAATTTTTCAAAATAACTTTTTTTTTTGTTAAGAAGAAAAAAAGACTTTTCAAAAGTCATAAAATTATATATTTTTTTTGTGACTTATAAAACATTCAAAAGTCAAAAACATATCATCCAAACATTTTTTAAAACCAATTTTTAACTTTTACTATTTAAAAAAAACTTTTAAGAAAATAACTTTTGACTTCCCTTTACATTACCTCATATGCTTTGTTAGAGAGAAAATATAAATTTGGGCTATTCTTCTAAAAAAAAAATAAAAAAAATTTATGAAATAACCTATATAACCCTCAAAATTACGATTTTCTGGCTCCGATTTTTTTTCGTCAAATGAGATTGTAAAAGTATCTAATACTTACTATTATATATTAAACACTAATTTTATTTGTCAAAAGTGATGATAATTTTTTTACTCCTTAAATACTATGGGTTCATGGATTGAGCCTATGATAAAATCGCAGTCCATAAATGAAATTGCATCCCAATGGATAGCTAGCTTATGATAAAATCGCACTCCATAAGTGAATTTTAATGACTATTCAAGTCATTTCAATTACTCTTTTTTATAATAATAAAAAAAAGAAGCAAATATTAAATCCTAAATATCACAAATGAGAGAGGGCAGTCCTACCACTTGAGCTATGGCCCTTTTGATCAAATCATTTTTTATTATTATTCTTTTGCTATTTTTAAAAGATAAGTATATAATTAGGTTCAGAGCTTCAATCTTTTATTTAGGAGGGTGAATTATATAAAAACTGGTGAATGTGGAAGCCTTAGTTAAAATTTTATATTTTTTGGTCTAAAATATATATATATATATATATATATATATATATATATATATATATATATATATATATATATATATATATATATATATATATATATAATCAGGGCGGATCTTATATAGGGTTAGGGTTGTGGTCGAGAAGTAGTCTCTATACTTTATATATATATAAAATATAGAGACTACTTCTCGACCACAACCCTAGCCCTATATAAGATCCGCCCCTGATTATGTTACATTGTCCAGTGACCTCTCACAAATAAGAAGCCACTCCTACCACTTGAGACCTCTCACAAATAAGAAGCCACTCCTACCACTTGAGCCAAGGCCCTTTGGTTCAAATCATTTCTTATCATTATTCTTTTGCTATTTTTAAAAGATAATTATATAATTAGGTTACATTTTCTTGTTCTCTTTGTTCAGATCTAATCATATTCTTTGTAAAGCATCTGTAGGCCATATTTTTCTAAATTATGTAAAACATTTATTGCATATCATAAAACATACAACATTGTTTAGTGGGTATATTCGCCTATTTCGTGCATGACTAGTGTGTCTAACACACTGTAAAACAATGATAAAAATAAGAGACGGGTCCAAGAATGCATCCGTTAGGGTACCAGTTATGTCACATGTCGAAGTGGTAAAAATAAAAATAAACAGGTCGACATATCAACATGGTCTAAAATTCCATTTCATTTCAATTAGAAAAGGACCACAAATAATCTATTTTAACATTGCAATAATTAAAAAAAAATGTTAGATCATGTCTTTAATTATTGTTATTAAATCGTCTTCTACGAGATTTCATCATCCGAAAAGCACTCAATTGCATCTTCATTTCATTTTATGAAAAAGCATTGAAACAATCATTACTATCTAATTTCACAAATTTCATCACGAAAAAACTTGTGATTGTAACAGGAAAAAGCAATAGTCGATGGACCAAGTGATAAGATAAGGTAAAAGCTTTTGGAAAGAACATTCGATGTAGTTATGTAACTTTATAGAAGTAAGGTTTCAATGTGGAGCTTTTATATTGTAAAGCTTGTATCTATGTATGGAAAAAGTAATGTGTGAAAAGTTAGCATCAAAGTAGTTGATTCAAGGGAACTATGTATCAACTTTTAGATGCTTAGGATTAAAACATCAATACACAATTTTGCATAGTATCATTGCAATCAAGGCAAGGAAGATGCAGTGTCTTCCAGTTCTTCAACAAAGCTCTTTGTCATTTTCAAATAATCTTCAAGCTTCGACTCTTTCCACTCCTATAAAAAAAAAAAAAAAACATTCATTAAAATATATATATATATATATATATATGCTTTATGTCTCAGAAAAAAACACAGCAAATTGGCCTATATTAACTTAATATGTGCTCTAAATCACATAACTAATTAAAACAAGCTTACCTCAAAATCCCATTCTCCATATAAATCAGGATCACTACTGTTGGCCCAAATGTACACATAAGCCTGTAACACTTCAGACGTATCCTGCACAATCAGTATAATTTGTAAACTTCAAACCATTTAAGTCATTTGCTGATAAAAGGAAACAAATGAAAATAAACTTTATTCTTAGAAAATATAGATAATTAAGATGACATTATAAACTAATACCAGCAAAGAAACATCAACAGCCCTCTTGTCATACTCTTCATCTTCATATGTGTCCAAGATATATAATTCTGAAGCAGAAAGCCCAAAGAGAACCTGATGTCAAATCCTTTACCGATTAGATTATATGTATATCATGTTAATGAGCTTCAGTCTTCACGTGAACAAATTAAAACCAGATACGACTATATGATATAAGTGCCATGAAATATATTACAGTAAATGAAATGGAAAATGAACATACCCTCCCTGTAACTTTCTTGTTTTCTACAGGTATAATTGCAGGATAAACGCGTCCTTTGATGCTAAATCTATGACTACAAAAAAGAAATTATTATCATACATGATTCATAAATTGAATAACAAGCTCCTGTTAAAAGTTTAAACCAAGTATCAAGTATGGGGTTGAAAATTGACTCCCTGAGAGAAATTATTATCAATACAGAGAAGCCCTAATACGCATCGATCCACACACGTGATTGAAGAATAATATGAATTGGTTTAGGGTTTTAGTAAAATCTAGCTATATATCCATGAATTTTTAAAAACAAAACCAAAAATCAAACAATTACACAAGTAATTAACTTCGCAGAGTCAGCTTTACCCAATACAATTAGGGTTTTAACGGATACAAAATCCAAAATTTCTCATAATAAGTAATGACAAATCATGGGAAGAGGGAGGAGACTGACTAGCCGTTAAGGATCGCGGGGGAGGTTTGAGGGATACGGTTGAGGAGTACTTGAACGACGTCGTCAGCTAAGAGGCTACCGTAGACAAAGACGGTATGGTCATTATTGCCACCACCACAACCACCCAACCCCACCGCACCGGTGTTCGCTGACGCCGTCGCCATTTCAATTCTCTCACTCCCCCGCTGTTTACAGAGTGAAGGGAAGTTGCGGTACGTAACCCAAAGATCGATGTTAGCAACTCTCCGAAGCTTTCATGATCAATCAAAGTCAAAGTAAAAGGGGAAAGACAGAAAAGAACAAAAACTGACACCTCCTTGATCCTCCACCAAGTTCGGAGAGATTGGGGATCTGATAGGAATTTATGTAATGTTTAGGTGTTAAAACCAAAATTTAAATAATTATACTAACAACCCTTACAGTTTCATTTAAAGCAAACACATCTACGTGTTGTTTTATTTTATATAATTTCCGACGTGCTAAAAAAAGGAAACGAAACCCGATTTTTGTTTAAATGGGAGGAGAATGCAAGAAAAATATGACAAGTATTGGAGGAAGTTTGATGAACTTGATGACTATATATACTGTCTTTATGTTGGATTCTGCAATGAATTTTTTTTAGACATGTTTTTATAAAAGTGATTATGTATGACATAAAGAAGGAAAATCTTATGTTGATACAAGATCTAGATACGAACCTTTGGTATGAAAGGTTGAGAATAGATTGGATGATTTGTTTAAAAAATTTATAAAGAAATGTCTGACTTTCATTCGTCATCTTAAGAAGCTTATAATAAAGATGTTATTTCATGTGACACAGGCGTTGACTTTTTGGGGGAATTTTTACATGTGAAAGTAACTTGGTTGCAAGTGAAAACCTAATAAGAAAAATAGGAAATGAGCCTAAATTTGAGTTTACTACCACGTTAGAGTATTCATTTTTCCAATTAAAATCATTTGAAATTTTGATCTTACTTCCTAGGTGGACTCACATTCCTTTGTTTCAAAACCGATGGCCCAGGTAAGCTACAAACCAATTTGTTCTATTTGTTTATAACAAAGCATTCAAATTGTTAGCTTTTCATACTTATAATCTTTGAAAAATTAATCACTAACATTTTAACAGCTTTTATAATTTTTTTTATCTAAAATGTATAAATCTTTTGGCTTTCAACATTAATATCTTCTTTGTTTTTCTCCATCATGGTTGACGTCACTAAAATCGCATACTGTGAGAAAATAATTAAAAATAACCGAAAGTCACAAAAAGGCAGTTGGGTTTCCGAAAAAAAAAGTGTGGATAAATTATTTCTTGTTCGTAATTAAAACTATTAATAACACAAGATACGTTTTTTCGTTTTGTTTTGAGCTCGCTCCTAATTTAAATATTTTCCAGGATCCATTCAAAAAAACATAACATGATGCAAAAAAAAAATGGATGAAGCAAGCAAGTGCACAACATATACTTATAACATTATCACGATTCACGAATAATGTGTTTTTGGTTTCTATCGATATGGATAAATCCTACTAATGATCATATGATGAATCCTTAAAGATCCTTATTTTTCGTAAATAATTATAAGTTGACATTTTCACACAATGACACAACCAACTAATCTTGCTTGGGGGCTAACCGCCGACGAATTCTCAGATGTCCAAACTTCCCTGCACCCGGTGATGAACCCTCAAACAGAAACGGCATGTACCCTGTTGCATTTCTGTATCTCTGTTGAACCTACAACACCAATTTCACAAAAAACCAATCTCTTTATCTTTTTTCTCCATTATACCTATCTACTTGCATTGCAATATTATTTTTTGCCAATAATAAGTAGGAAAAAAAATAGATTTTTTATAATTACCTGAAGGATTTGTTCGCTACTTTTGAGACAATTCCTACCAATGACACAAACGGTCCCACCAGATCCGCCACCTGTAATCTTTGCCCCGTATAAAGTTCCATCTCCATCTCCAGACACAGAGGATTTGCTGTGCTGCATTTCTTGAACCAATTGAACAAGTCTATCTGTCCCATCTGACCCTAACCCACAAGCACTATAACTATAGTGACACTGCATCATAACATCAACAACAAACCAACATACATCATTTCATAAATACCGAAAATACCCTTTATTAACAAAAAGGCTGTTCGGTTTGAGTTGAGTACCTGATACATTAGTTCCCCGAGAGCAGTGAGTTGCTCCTCTGATGAAGCTGATGTCAGTAGTGCTTTGAACGCCTGGAAATTCGGTGTAGAATTTTTAATAGTTTTTAAAAATAAAAAGGTAATATTTGAAATGGAAAATTAATAATATACGAACCTTGACACGGAAATTTTCATAAATAGGATGTCGGGTGGCTGCTTTGACTCCATATGAACGTTTTTTGTCAATCACTGTGACTGGATCGTTGTGATGATCGTATTTTGTTAAAAAGGCTTCGCCATTTAAAGTATCCGGAAGATTCTTGGAGTATATAGCTTCAAATCTAGAATATTAAATTTTGTGAATAAACATGAAAATAGTTTACAACTTATTTTATAGGTTTTTGTATGATTGGTGAATATTCACCTGTGAGGGGCGAGATTGCATAAATAATCTAGAGAAGCTTCATCCTGAAGAAGTTCAATCCCATATTCTTCTAACTCTTCAAGATTATTTCCATTTCCATTTGAATATGATTTTGAATACACATCAGATGCGGTTGACTTTATCATTTTTCGACCCATAAACGCCCCTATTCTAACCGATCCATAATCAGCACCCCCAATACTGTAAATTCAAAAAATAATTAATTAATTAATTAACAACAAACCAAAACAAAATATCAGGATTCATAGAGAGTTAAATAAATATACCTGTGTCGTAAACCTGAGTCGATTCCCCAAAACCGTATATGACTAGGAATGTCCACCAATCCTAATACCTCAGCTGGCTGTATAAAATTTAACAGTTTATAGTTTAATAATTAATATAATATGTTTCAAAAAAATAAAAGAAAAGACAGAATTAGGTACCTACCTGGCAAACCATTGCAAGAAGCTTGTTAGCTTCACCACATGCAGAAGCCATTTGATCCATCACACCACATGGAGCTCCAACAACAGAGTTTTCCACCTTTTCAATAATAATAATATATAATATAAGGATAAGTGAAACAAAGCTTGTAGAAGTTTATTAACAAAAATTGTGTTGATTATTTATACCTTTTGACAGAGGATCGCGAGATCCCTTGAACTGATATTTAACCCTGGGAAACAAAGTTTATGGTTTTAAAACCTGAATAAATAAATGTATAATTTTGTAATATAAATATAAATAGTTACCATGAGCAGCAGCTATAGCTGACATGCTGGCTACTTCCACTGATGCAGAAGAGGATACACCTTTGCCTTCTGGAACAGCTGAAGACACCTGTTCTTTTTCATTTTTTTTTTTTTAATTTAATATTTGTCAAAGTCGACAAGTGACATGTGTCGAAAAGTATTTAGAAATTAGATATAAATTATTACCAGCATGCTGATGCTGCTATCGAATCGGATATTTAATTCCTTCATTAAAACAAGAATCGTGCCAGCAACATATGCAGCCCATCTGAAAAATTAAAAAAAAAAAATTTAATGTGAAAAACAGATATAATTTGTAGAAGAAAATAAAGAAAATACCTTTGTGATGGATCACGGGCAAAGTAACCTTTGGCTTTTTCATATGAAATGGGTTGATCTCCATCCATGAAATCTGATATGTCCATGTCAAATGTGGGACCACGGTTGCTCAATTCTGATCCATATGACACCTGACAATATAATCCAACTCATTATTTTTTTTAAGGAAATTACGATTCTGTCCTTTGATTTGTATGGATATGATCCGATTAATAGTTTAACTTCAGAGTCTTTAAGTCATAATCTCATCTGTTAAGATAATGAAGATGACCATTTTGCCCCTATCACTTCATGTTTTCATTCAAGAACCTTGAAGTCATGTATGATTCTGGTTTCACTTGTAAAATGCAATCTGGTTGATTTGGTGGTGTTATGATTCTAAATAGGGTTCTTGACCTTGATGATGACGAAGAAGATACAGGCAAAATGGCCATTCTTATTGGACCAAATCCAAACCACAGGAACGAAAAATGTAACTTACCCTGTTTTTCATTACTTTATAAGTGGAAATTATTATAATTTATAAGGAAATGCATTATTTATAAAGATTATGTTGAACTTACAATCTGGAGCACAGGTGTAGGTCCTTGTCCTTTGGCATTCTGTCTAGCCTGTGCATGCTTCCATAACCTCTGTTTACTTGGCTGGATTTTTTGAACAGCAACATGACAAGCTTCTCTAATAGGCATCTGTCATGTATAACCAAAAAAAAAAAAAAACAAATTAAATAAGACACTGCAAATAAATAAATGAATAAAATAAGAAAATGTATGTTCACCTGCAAAACAAGACTTCCAGAGTAGTCAGCAATTCCTCCAATAACATCTAATCTTCCAGGTGCTCTTGCCACATATATATCTTCCTGTATCAGCAAATAATGGGATGAACTCCATGGAGGGCAAAATAGTCATTTTACAAGGGGTTAACAGAAAAAGAAAATTACCTCCCAGTTAAAGAGACCAGCAGCAGCCTTGCGCTCACGCATATATTGCTTTTCAGTATTCTTTACAGAATCATGTAAAGCATCTAATTCAGCCAAACTCCTCAAAAAACTCATTGTGTCTGGAAGACCCATCACATCTCCATGAAGAATATCAAAGTCCCCAGCATCTCTTCACAAGTTTTTTAAAATTAAAATTTAAAAAAAATTAAAATCAATGACAATTGTATACTTACGCATTAGTATAATTATAAACTTGATAGGGAATGATAAGATAAAATAAAAACTCACGAATTCTGGGGTAAATTGGAATTATTAATATCAACTGAATGTGAGCCTGTACGAAGTCCAAGTTCATTTTCAGCACTTGCATACCATTCTGGAATACTGATATCCCTTCCAGGAACTCTTTGTAATTGATACCCTAAGACTATGGCATCACGTAATCTCCGGGCCCCACTAAGCTACAAATTTAAGACATTAAAACCATGTGAATCACAACAATTTAACGAAAAAAATTATAAGTTTTAAATTATTTACTTTATCTGATGCGTAATTCTTTCCGTTTGCTGTGTCCTGCAAAATACGCGCTGCAACCTGGAAAAAGATAACAAAATTATCAACTTATGTTTAAAAAAAAAAAAAAAAAAACGTACTTTTTAAGGGTAAATTTCATTTTTGGTCTCTCAGAGTCTGAGTATAGCTGGTTTTTTCAACATTGGTCCCAAAAAATTTTCTCTAGCAATTTTGGTCTTTCTTTGAGGTTTTGGTCCATGTTCCAAGTTAAATGACTATTTTTGGGACCAAAATTGCAAAAATCAGTTACAATCAGAGACCAAAGATTATCATTTCACTTTAAACAGGGACGAAAAACGACAAAAAAACCTCAAAGATGGACAAAACTTGCAATAGAAAACTTTTTGGGACCAAAATTGCAAAAATCAGCTATACGCAGGGACCAAAAGTGTAATTTACTAATACAAAGCAGACAAAGATACCTGACCACCATTAACTCCACCATCATAGCTAGGTTTTAAACTGGTGGCACGTTCAAGGTATGGCCTCCAATGACCTGTGAGTAGATCTCTTCTTATCATCTCAACACCACCTTGATAAAACTGATGAAAAATTTATTAGTTTGTTTAAATTTAAATTTAAATTTAAAATGTTATAAATTATTTAGAAGCTCGTGGTACCTCGAGCATGTTTCTTAAAAATGGTTCTTCATTGAAATAATCTCTACGGACAAATACAAAAGGTAGTTTGTAAGCCAAGGCTTCACTAACAGTTCCATATCCGATTTTTCCTGAAATAATATTATATCATACGATTAATGAGCTTTAAAATCTTGATTTGATTATTGTCATACTAAAACCACATTACCAAAGAGGAAGACAAAGAATAAAGATTCCATAAACTAACCAAGCATACAATCTGATGCAGCCATCACATCAGGGGTATATGTGTCTTTTGCCAGCTTTATGAAATTTGGAGGAAGCTCTTGTTCAGATGACGCCCCACAAACCTGTAATTGAGTAGATTTTTCAAAGTACAATTCCTTAAATGAAAGTACATTGCTACGTCTTGCAAATTACTATTTTACCCTTGTTTTAATGGATCAATTTGTAGGGAATATTCAGAAGTGAACATACCAGGCAAAGCCAACCAGGAGGCAAGTACTCCTCTTTTAACTTCCAACCTGCTGGCTGCAAATTTTCATAGGTGTTACATTATTAATAAATGACAAATCTTTTTAAAAGACTTTAAAATACAGTTTTTTTAAGACCTAGAAAAAATATTTTTTACTATAATCAATTCCATCCAACCAAACAGACTCTAAATATGTAGCATATATTAAGACATTAAAATGACCATTAACTTACTTGTCCACCAAAATTGAGAATAACAAGCTTCACATCCTCACTAATCCCCATTTCACTCCTCACCTGCATCACAATAGGGAAAATAAATGTACAATTTAAAAAAAAAAAAAAAGTATCAGTCAGCAACATGGAATCATCATAGCAAAAGCAAATACTGTGTTACAAACCTCCTTGCGTGATTTATGCAACCTTCTTACAACCAAAGGTACATCAATCACATCCCTAAAAGCAGGCACTACAGAAAACAGTTTATAAATGAAAATTAATTTTGTACATTGGTAACTTTTAAATGGAAATGTATTATTATTATTATTATTATTATTATTATTATTATTATTATTATGTACACAAACTTACTTGGGCAGTATCCAGGTAGACGAATTAGGAACTCACAATGTGAATAGTCCTCGGCTATCTGTATAAGATTTAAATATAACTTTGTATAAAAAAAAAGGAGAACATAAAATCGTATCATCAAGAAAAAAGAAAATATCATAATACCTGCCATACTATTGACCTATGATGATACCCAGCAGCCATTACATATTCCGCATAAATGAAGTCCCAACTGCAACAATAAACTTAAAAACAATTAAATGAAAGATAAAATGTTACAGGATACTAAAATCAAGCAAATGAGCAATCTTTTTTCACCTAAAATTTGTTACACAAACTGAACGTATACCAGCATCAGCTGCTGCACGACAAGCAACTGCAACAACATCTGATACCTGTTTCATACAACAATATTTCACATGTGAATATTTAATATATATATAACTTAGATGCTTCATTAAAGATTAACATGCTAAGGGACTTTAATGTGCACAAAAAAAAAGCATGAATTAGAGTAACATATATAATATAAGCAGGTTATTAGTTATTACCACTAAGTCTGCCTTGATGGAGTTGAGCCACTCAACTTCTGTAGCCAAAATAGAAGCACGAGGTGCAACAGCTGTCTCATTATACTAGAGTAAAACCAACAGGCATTAACAAAATGACATTAAATACCAAAAGAAAAACATAATTTTCAGAACAAGATAGGACAAATTGGAACCATTTTCTAAACTTTGCAACTAAAATTGGAAGTAATCATTTAAGACATACCTTTTCCAAGGAGGCGAGTCGATCTACTGTTAAAGCATCTGCTTGAACAGCTCCACAGTCCAAAACAAGCTGTGAGACATGGAAATTGAGTCAAGAAAAGTCAAAGATTGTAATCTGTTAGTAGACCTCTGAAAGTCAAACCCACCTTCCTAAGGAAAAGTCTTGGAGATTGTACTTCAGTAGTGAACACAAAGTCTGGTGCACCAGTCACCACATGAACATCATGCCCAGCAAGAATGAGGTGGCGAACAACCTGCACAGAGCTCAAAAAGGAAATCAATGATTTGAAGAAGCATGCAGGGAAAAAGAAAACTATTCTGCTTTAATCAATCTATTATTTATAACCAGGTTCTTGAACTGAAATAATCGCTTTGAAAATGCACAATATTTTTTCCCATATCGTTGGAACACCAATACTCGCTATTGATCATTCTTATTGGTAATGGATATGTTTGTAGCATAGAAACAGCAACATCAACAACGACTACAAAGTCATGTATATAATCGTGATCAACATATCTACTTCAGTTTCACAAAAAAGGGGTTTAAATTTAAGACTAGAAAGATTATAAAAACACGATCACGGCTAAACAAAATCGGAAAAGAAGAAATTGACCGAGAGAATTACCTCGACAACACGTGTAGCATGGCCGAATCCATGGCCGGTAACATAATAAGCAAATACAAGATGATTCCGGGAAGCTGATAATTCTTCTACTCCGTCTTCGATCCTCATCTTCGTTCACGGCGTTTCAGAGTTGAATTACTGCGGCTGAGGCTGATCAGACAAGGAGATATTGATTACCGACCAATGTGACTTGTTGTATGATTATTGAGCATAGCAAGTGAATGGATTTTAAAGGAATCACTAATCAGTGAAGGGGTGATGAACTTGATTTGGTACGAGAAAGTGACGGGAAATTTGGGAGATTTGAGAGAGATGGATAGTGCAGACGACAGATTCATGGGTTGTGTCTGCGCTTATCCTCTTTCGTTTAATTTGTTGATTGATTAATTGATTTAGAAGTGAGATTTTAGCCCTCAACTTTATACCCACCACCTTTTAGTCCTTCTAGATTGAAAAATGACATAACCCATCCATGTGTTTTCTAGTTTCTTCTCTTACTTTTCTTGAGAATTCTACTTTTTCTCTTTTGTAACAAGGTGATCTAATATCACAAATATATATATATATATATATATATATATATATATATATATATATATATATATATATATAGAGAGAGAGAGAGAGAGAAAGAGAGGTTCAAATGTTTCTAGCAATTATTATATGCATGAATGCACCAATAGAAATTTAGGAATAATTAAATAATTAAAAATTGTAATAAGGGTAATTATGTAACTTTAGCATGATATTAAAATAAAATCTCTTAATTCATGGAAATTACCATAAAAATCTCTTTAACCAACTATTAAACCCTAGCCTCTCATATCATGCGTATTCTATTTCTGCCTCCTCCCATTTTCTTATTGAAGAATGAACATCGCCTGATCAAAAGAGGTGGTCGAAACCTCTTGCCACACTTGTCGACGATGTGAATTGGAATAAAGGTGTCAAGGGTCTCCACCTATTGCTGACCTATCTGATTTACATGAATTTCATCGTTCAGCTCGCCTCCACAGCTCTCATGTTCACCTGCAATCGTTCTTCTGGTGGGTGCTTCTCCAAGAAACATTTTCCATACCTGTATCGATTTCATGCGGTCTTCTTTTTTGGTTAGGTATGATTTTTTTTCGTTTACTCCGACTGATTTTAAATTGGTTTCTGATTTTGCGTATGGAACGTGATGTTAATTACTTTCTAATTTTGCACATTGAGTCGATTGATTAGTTTTGAAATTGATTTCTGATTTTTCACCTTGAATGTAATTGTTTTCTGAAATTGCACATGATGTTTACCTTGTTGAATCTGATGTCGATCTTGACATGTTAATTTGCTATGCGTAATGTGAAAGTGTCACTTCCACCCACCAGGTGTTCGACATAATGCCAACATTGCATCATTCTTCCTTAAACATTCTACATATTCTTATGTGATAATGATTTCTTTTGATTTATTCTATATATTGTAAGTTATGTATACCTTAAATATTTTAAGCATTGTGGTTTACGTTTATTTATTCTATGTATGTTGGTTTGATAAAATGTTCACTTCAAATTATTTTACTTATTATAATGTATGTTGTATAGTAGTTATTCTAACTACTTTTACTTATGTTTTATGTTATGTGTTGAATATTCTATATATTCTAATCAAGCTTCAATTGCTACAGATGATGAAAGATACACTATTATTCTACTGATTCGATTGTATGTTGTATTGCTTTAATTAAAATATCACTAATCAAGCTTATAATTGCAGCAAAAGATGGACCAATTGTTGATCGGTTGATGAAATACTTTTCAGTTTAAGCTAATTAAGCTAATTCTGTGAGAATGACTTTCTTTCCTCATCATTGGGTGTTTATTCGTATCTTCAATTGTTTCATTCTTTAAGAATAGTTATTTCATTTTTTAAGAATATTTTGTATCTAATGTATTCTTCTATTTGAATAATGTGTAGAGTGTATTATAATCTTGGAGAATCACATAAGAATGATTCTGCCAGAATTATATTTCTGGTATAATCACATAAGAATGATTATGGTAGAATCACATAAGAATGATTTTGCAAGGGTTGTATTGCAATTGGCTGAAGTTTTAACATGATTTTTGTTTCTTATGTTTTTCAGATGTTTCAAGTTTTACCTAGGGATCACTTACCATCCTGGAGTTTATCTCCTTTTTGCAGCTCCTTGTATAAAATCATTCTCATGCAATACAATTCTGATAGAATGTTAATCTCACAAAATGTCAATGTTATAGAATGCTATTATATTATGAAGTGGCTTAGAGGTCAAACATACACAAGACATCTATAAATGAAACAGTAAAGCAAATGAGGATTCTTTCAAGAATGTCGATATTTTTTTGCAAGAGATTTCAAGAATGATTGTAATTTATGTTCATAGCCGTATTCTTTAATAATGAATGTAATTACTTATTCTAACCTATTAAACTTCGTCTTATATAAAATTTGTATTCATTAAAAATTATTGGTCTTGATAATATTTGTTTATAATATTATGTTCATAGGTGTATACCATTCTGATAGAATTACAGAATATCATTCTAGCAAAATAACATTCTAATAGAATAAAACTAGTTTATGCTTACAAATTACGTTTGAAATTGAATTAATTTGAAAAAAAATAGATTTTTTAAATCAAAATCATTAATTATCCCATAAATCTCGACTTTGCTTTTTTAAATTCGTCTCAGTTGACTAAAATGTCCTTATGCTGAATTTTGTGTGATTATATGGTACATGTTACCTTATTGTAATATCATAGACCCTCAGATCATGACCTCTGATTATATTTCATTTGATGGTCCAGATCTGTGCATTTTGACACACAATAGTTACTAGAAACAAAATAACCTAACCCTATATATAGAGAGGAAAGATCATTTGAGAACTCATAGTTTCTCGAGAACCCGAGAACTAAAAGTGGAACGTTGGATCAAAATAAAGGACGATCAAGATGCAATGTGGCATTTTTGTAAATAATCAGAAAACTAAAGAGGTGGGGGCATATCAATTAAATTAGACAAGGGTATTACTGGAAACAAATATACTATTAGTTTATTAGTCTTATTTACTAAAAGAGAAAACAAAATTTCCCAATGTTACCTGCGATTTTCCCCAAACAATCATCACCTTCTCCGATTCTAGTGTTGGCGATTCCGCCTCCCCGACAACCGACACCGGCGAGTCGCCTCTTCAATACCGCATCTAGGTAATTATCGATGACCACTACCTACATCGACCATATCCCTCATTCGTTATGAAAAGAAAAGAAGAAGCTAAAATTTCAAGCCCTAATTGATCAGTTAGGGCTCCAAAATGACGCCAAAACTATCGTCAGTGACGAAGAACATCAAGGAGTCTTAGGCGGAGAACAGCGTCGTCTTTCCATTGGATCTAATATCATTTTTGTATTCGATTCTAGTGCTGCATCCATCTATCTTGTCTTCGACCACAACCACCACCAAACATTCCGTGAATCTACATCCAAGCAAAAAAAAATCCAACTACTCTTGTTCCAAAAGCTTATTCCACCGCCGAATTATCCCCTGAAATCGTTGATGTACTCGGAGATGTCAACATCTTCACTGTTTCCTTGCAAGTGTAGCAGAAGGTTGAATATCCTGAACATGAATTCCATCCGCTTCCATATTTACCATTTTACGCTTTGTTTGCCTTTCACCACCAAAATATTCTCCAGTTTCATATTGAAGAGTATCAAGTTTAAGAACTAACTTGAGGGAACCATTTGTTTCATTTCTTGGGGTCCAATTAGAAGGTGAACAGTCATCTTGATTTCAGACAGGAGACACTATGTTTGAATTTGATCTCCTTGTTCTATGCAGTTTTGGTGGCCTTTGACCAACCCATTCACTTTCTTGTAAAGTAAGTATCTCCCTAGCCATTGCAGTCTCCCACACTATTTGTGTAGTCCTTATAGCCTTCTTTTTTGTCAATGGACTAGAACATGTAGTGTAAGAATCATCACAATTATTGGACCTGAGAATACAGGAAAGGTTAGAAATACCTGTTACTATTATGAAATACACAATATTAAGAATGTGAAATAACAAAAGACAGATTCGATTATGTTAATAGTTTTAGTAACACTTTCTCTGATTTTTAATGAAAGATACAACATAAAACTATAATGGATTACCTGAAAACCATATTTATTATTAAAATTATAATAGATTTTTGTAGACTAGTGTACTTGAAATGATATCTGGATTTGAGTGTTTGAAAATTGCTTAAAACTGTATAAAATCTTCATGTTTGAAGTTGTTTAAAGGTTTTCCTGTGTTGAAAGGTGAAACTTGAAGCCTGTGATTTCCTATATCTTGCAATCTTTATATATTCTTTTGTTTAACTTGTGGAAATGTGATTATTGCAATCCATGTTTAAATTCTTGTGAAATTTTTGTATGTTGAAACATCTGCAAATGTGATAATGGTTTAACAGAAAACAGTATCTGTTAGGTGCATTTCATGTACCCATTTTGTAGTTTTAATCCATATAAGTGCATTGCATTTAGGTTTAAACTCATGTATTTTACATGTTTTTCGGGATTTTTCATGAGGCAATTTCATTCAAATACTTTTGTGATATTTTAGGGACTTTTGGAGGTAGGATCTTGTTGGAGGAGGTAAATAAAAGTTGCGGACAAAATTCCGGGACTTGCGGAGCACCGAGGAGCAAAATATCAAAGAAAAGAACATTTTGGCTTTACAGAGATTTACACGGCCGTGTAAATGCAAGCCTTGTGTTTACGCGGGCCGTGTAAACGTAGATTTCTGTGCAGTATACTTTTGTGTTTACGCGGGCTGTGTAAATGACAGTGTTAATTTACACGGGCCGTGTAAACGTAAACGTGGGTTTTAAAGCCGTTTTTTCACCATTCTTAAAGGGGGGAACCGACTTTTTACTTTAGGGGGTCGACTTTTGGAGTGGAGAAGGCGAATTTCTTGAGGATTTTGAAGTTGATTAACACTTGGGAACATTTGATTTCATTTTGTAAGAACTTTAATTTCATTTTCTAGATTTGTGATCTTGTTCTAAGCATGAGTGGCTAGAACCCTAAATTCTCCAACTTTATGTCTTGACATTTGGATGTGATTTCAATCATATGACTTGGTGTTTGCTTTCAATTTTCTATCTAGTGAATTTGATTTTATATCAATCGAATGTTTGATTCTAATTGTGATTCTTATTGGCCATTTGAATTAGGGTTAGATCATTCAAGTTATCTAAGTGCAAAATCCGTAATTGTTTTGTAAATTGGACTAGGTAACAAGCACTAATCTGATTTCTATTGAATGAAATTAGTGTAAATCTATTC